AAAAAAAAAAAAAAAGAAGTTATACACGGATTTTGAATGGTGCAGGGGGTCGGTGCCCCTAACTCTCGTGTTGCTCACGGGGCAACTGTATAGTGTTTTCTTGAGTTCTGTGAGTCATGCTACTTGATGGGGTTTTGGAATATAGTGAGGTTCAGTTGGGGTGGGGTCCAGAGCCAACTACCAAGAAAGAATTCTTGAGATGTCTTTGGTGCAAAATGGTGGTTTATGAAAGCGCAGCGACAGGACCCGTGGGCAGAAAGAGCTGCTGCCCTGGGGTTGTGAGGGGTGGCTGATTATATACTATGGGGTTGGGGGAGGTAAGGAAAAAGGGAGGTTTCCAAAGAACTTTCATATGCTAAAGAGCACCTGCAAGATACCTGAGGCCTTGCCGTTGTCAAGTTAATGTTGTTTACCCGTCTAGTAAGGCATTAACATTAAGATAGCCTGGAACTTTCTGGAGGAACATTACATTCTGCCCACTTTAAGTACCTGTCGATGGGCTGCAGGTTATAAAGACATTTAATTGTATTTACATTCCCTTCTGGAAGCTATTGCTAAGGCTTTTGTAAGTAAACTGAGGGAGACTGTCTTGCAGGATTGTGATCTCTATAAGTTAACTATTTGTTTTTCCTTTAGGACAGCCAGGAGTGCCTGAGGAATGTCACGTATCATATATCCCATGGGGGGGGTTAGTTGTGGGGTGTCAGCTTCTGCTTTGTCCTCAGCTTGCCTTCTGTTCCCTCATCACTAGGGAGCTCTTGAACCTGAGGGAGTGGGGAGAAGCCCTGACCTTGGAGCTATTTGGGCAGAAGGGCACATGGCCTGGGGCCACTGAGCTTGGGGCCCCACGTCCGTGTCTGTGTCCGCGTCCGTGTCCGCAGTGAGGGTAATCCTCCAGGGGACTGTGCTGTAACTTGCGTTGTCATGCTAACCCTGGGGGAGGGGGTCTGTGCCAGAATTACACTGCAGGGACTTTCTCATTTTTACACAGCTAACGACTATGAGGACTTGCGCTAATTATACTGAATCCACATGCTCAACACATTCTCTAAATGGTTCATCTAATTTTCCACACCCCAAATCACGAGGCTCATCTAAGTGGTTTTAAACATATAATATTGATATACAATGATTTGAATCTCTTACACTGGCAGTTGATTCAATTAAGCAGTGATTGCCAAGAGCAAAACCCACCACGGCTGTAATGTGCTAAGTGCAAAGTGTCAATGCCGTGGTTATGCAGCAGTTTCTAGCTCGGCTCACAGTCACATTTCCTCTGAAGATCCACCAACCTTCCCCCATTTTAGAATGTATCCTTCTTTTCACGTCTTGCCTGCCCAAAGTGCCTTGTGAAGAAGAGCTTGGTGGGTTTCTGGGGAGAGCCACATGGGCTCCTACGTGTGTGGACAGTGGTAAAAGTAAGCAGAGAATAAGCCCACCTGTGTAGTAGGCTTGCGAGATCTCCTTCATCTGCCTGCTCGTTCTGGTGGTTAAGATTTCAATCAGCGCATGTTCACTTGTTCCAGTGCCCTGAAAAAGAAAAGGAAATCTATTTTTAGAATACTTGAAAAGCTTAACGTCATGCATTTCAGGCTTAATACAGATGAAAAGAAGTTGTCGTAAATCAGCATAAAGTTGTATATTGCTCTAAAGCGGTTTTCTCGTTTTTTTCATATGTTTTAGTATGAAAATAACCCAAATCATCTAAACTGACATCAAAATGTTCAAGAAAATTTCCCACTCCAGTGTAAAAATCAACTGAATAACTGTAGGGAGAAATAGTGTAAAGGGAAAAGCCTGTGTTATTCAAGGTCAGAAGTGAGCATTCAAATATGCCATTATGTTTAGAAAGGGCTCTGCAGTTCTTTCGAATGAGTTCATCCTTCTGCTAATGCACTAGGTCAGCAGGTATCATCTTCATACAGGGAGATTTTTAAAGCCTTAATGATGTATGTCATGGGCCTAGTTGATTTGGGGACTAGTTACCCTGAGCCTTGGTTTATACTGAGGTCACTGAATCATGCTGTGACTCCAAGAAAAGCCTTTTACACTAGAACTTGATCAAATAAGGTCAATGCAGCTTATGAACTGAGGCTGAATTCCGTCCCTCTGTGGCAGAGGTTCCTAGTTGCCCTCAACATCTCTCCTTTTTAATTAGCTAATTAATTAACTTAAAAACAGACTAGTTTTTAGATTAGTGTTAGGTTCACAGCAAAATTGAACAGACCTCATCTCTTTTACCTTCCTTGCCTTAGTAATATTGAAACCTCAATTTTTAACTTAGCACATAGCTACCCAAATAGATGTATTACTCAGCTTCCCTTAGAACTAGGTTTATTCATATAACAAATTATGATCCATAGACTATATGTAAAGTACCCTGTGCAGTTTCTGAGAGTCCTTAAGGAGAGGAAATGAAAACTTCTTTGTCTCTTACTGTATTTTTGGCTGACTGAGATAAAGATACAATGCCTGGATCTTGAGTTCCCATCTTAAGCCAACAAGTGGAATCTACAGGTGAAAGATGGTAAAACCTCAAGATTGAAGGAACCAGAGTCTCTGATAATGGTTGTGCCAGGACACCCAGCTCTGGGCTGCCTACCGTGGATTTCTTTTGCATAAGAGAGAAATTTTTCTAATCCTTGTTGGTGAATCTAATCCTTATCATGCCACCTGTTAAACTGTTCCCTATGTGGCAGCCACAGAAATGCACTGCTCAGATTTTATTTTAAGAGAATCTGCTGCAAATAATGTCTTTGGGTGATAGCCTCCGATCACCAGAGCTCTTGATCTGCCACACAGTTGACAAAGAGGTCACGCTCCCTCCAAGCTGCTCTCAGCAAGTGACTGAACATTGAAGGGGTACTGGAGCTGGACCATTTCTGCCCAGTGTAGGACTTCTCCAAAGGGCAATCTTTGCTCAGGAGCTCCCCACTGGCCTGCCACAGCTTTCTCAGAGCTACACTGTAGACGGAAGCTCTTCCTATCTGAGTCTACTTCCTTCCCTCTCTCCTTCCATGTGTGACAGACCTGAATTGCCATCTGAAGCTCCACCCAACCTCCCCTGCTCTGTCTCCTCTTTATCCTTCATAAGATTTCCCCTAGGAAATCTCTTGTGTGCCTCACTCCATCTTGCCATCTTCTTCTTGGGTGCCCATACCTCTTCCATGGAAGAGAAAGTCTCTCCCAACTCTGATAAGGAGGTAGAATACAGCTTATGCCTCGGACCTAGACTCCCTCCTTCCCCTCCTTCCTGTCAACACATGTGTTGAGTACCTACTTCATTTCAGGTTTTCCTCTTGGAACAGAAGATACAGACCAAGACTGATGAGGTTCCCTGCTCTGATGGAGATTTGCCTTTTAATTGAATGGACAAATATACAAAAAAAAAAAAAAAAAACCACCCCAAGATAATTTTAGATGGTAATAGGTGTAATTAAGAAAATAAAACTGAGTGAACTGGTAGAAAATATATGGAGGGAAAACATTCCAGATGGAAAAACATCATGTATAAAGACCTCAAGGTAGGAATAAGCTTAGAATATTCAAGCAGCAGAGAGAAGGCCAGTGTAGCTATAGCATTCGATGGGGTGGGGGTGAGGGGGACAGGGAGGAGAGGGCGTGGTAGACAGTTTTATGGTACTTTATCAACTTGGCCAGGCTACAGTCCTCAGTTACTCAATCAAACACAGATCTAGGTGTTGCTGTGAAGGTATTTTGTAGACATAACTAAAGTCCATTAGTGAGTGTCTTTAAGCAAGGGAGATTATCTCAGATATTTTCGGTGGGCCCAGTTTAGTCAGTTGAAAGGCCTTAAGAGCAGAGCTGAGGCTTCTTTGAAGAAGAAATACCACCTGTGGGCAGCAGCTCCAGCTTTGCTGAGAGTTCCAGCCTCCCCTTCCTAACAGTCTGCCCTACAGATTTTGGATTTGCCTAGTCAGATCCATAATTATGTAACCAATCCCTTGCAATAAATCTCACTATATATATATATCTCCCACCTACTGCTTCTGCTTCTCTGGGAAACCCTGACTGATACAGATAGAATTTTTAAAAAGTCACAGAGATGGACAGGATCCAGACTGTGATGGGTGATAAAGGTCATGGTAAGAAGCGTGGATTTTAAGTATTCAAGGCCACTGGAGATTTATGCAGGTGAATAGTATAATTCTAAAAATAACTTTATAAACATAATTTTGGCTACTCTGTGGTGAATGGATTCCAGGTGGGAGAAAATAGAGGCAAGGGACCAAGTAGGAAGGTATTGATATGGTCTAGTCAAGAGATGGTGGTGGTTGAACTGGAATGGTAGCAATGGATTTTGAGAGACACGCACACTTTTCTGACAGACAGACTTGCAGACAGATTTGGGAATAGAGCAAATGGACTTGCAGACGGATTCTGGGAGCTCTGAAGAGTGAGGGAAAGCAAGGGATCAAAGATAATCCTAGGTTTCTGACCTAAGCAATGGGGTTGATGATGGTGCCATCTACTCTCAATGACAACAAAGTGGAGAATTTGACTCTTTGGGTCAAAAACCAAGGAAATGAAATTAGGATATGACGCTATTCTTTCAGCCCAGGAACATTGGGCTCAAGGTTCCACGACCATTCCCCATCAGGACTGTTCTACCACTTGAATAGCGCAGCATCAAAATGACACCCAAATCTGTCCTATTTACACCCATTTCTCAAGTGTGTGCTGGAAGTAAGTCATTATTCTTGATGACACAGTTAAATCTCAAGCCCAAACTGGGCTCATACCTTCATTGATTTCTTCAGCTGCTTTGCATCAAACACAGCCGGAGGAGTCACAAGGGCCACCATGAGTTGCTTCAAGTGGCCAGAGAGATCGCCCTTCAAGTCATCTTTCAGTTCCTAAAATAAAAAATCCCAAAGAGGAAAGCATGAAATACTTTTCCTTTCTCTTTCTATAAAGTCACATCCTGAAAGATAAACAAAGGTATCAATTCAGACAAAAATATGCCAATTCACAGGGAATAAACAGAAATGGTGAACTATTTCTAAGGATAGCACTCTGCATTTTGTGACTGCTTCCAAGATATTCTGTTTTATAGGTTTTCTGAACGAAAGCCAATGGAGGGGGTTACATAATTGCCACAGATAGGAACTGTGTACTAAAATGCATTTCCTAGGCCCCAGATGCTCCCAATATTTGGGTTGGGGGAAGAAGAAGAGGAAGGGGAGCCCTTTAATTCATACCCAGCATCACCAGTAGGTGCTTCTCAGTGACTGCCAAAGAGCGCTGGAGAGAAAAGCGAAGGAGAGGACAGGGGCCGGTCACCTGCCTCTGCTAAGAGTGCGGAACTGCGAGACATCAAAGCAGTTTTCTGGCAACAACAGCAGGTAAAACCCTACATGTAACGGGCCGGTATTACCTGTTATTGTCCTTTGGCACCGTTTTCACACATTACATAAGTACAGTCCATCTCCTCTGCTTGAAGGCAGGTCATATGGTTTTTATTTCTAATATTTAAAGGAGTGTTAGTGAATTATTATTTTTCTTTTTTTTTTTTTTTTTTAAAGATTTTGTTTATTTTTTGACAGAGAAACAGTGAGAGAGGGAACACGAGCAGGGGGAGTGGGAGAGGGAGAAGCAGGCTTCCCACTGAGCAGGGAGCCCGATGTGGGGCTCCATCCCAGGATCCCGGGACCATGACCTGAGCCGAAGGCAGACGCTTAACCGACTGAGCCACCCAGGCGCCCCGAATTATTATTTTTCTTCCTCTTGATTATTTTCAGCTCTGAGACGGAGGCTGGCAGCCTCCCAGACCACTCTGACAATGTGGACACATACCAACATCTACCAGGCCACCAGGGGGCCCAGTGGGGCGGCAAACAAAACAAATGGGATGGAGCCAAGTGTCACTAGTTCTGCCTTAATCGCCACAGGGTATTTCCTCTCTAAATGCTAGCTCTACTACCATCTGTCCTCAACCCAGGACTTTCCAACTGAATCTCACTTCACATGTTCTCAATCCATCCCACTGTGAGAAACGGTGTCCCCCTTCACCTTGTCCTTCCTCCACAGTCCGGAAATCCTGAAAGGCCAATGGATCATTCATGTTCCCTATTCATGAGCGTTTTGCCTTGTCAAGAAGCTTGGCAATTAATTAATTTGACAGGTGTTTCCTGGGCACCTGCTCTGTGCTAGGCATTTAAAGGTGAGTTAGACACAGTCTTCATTCCTCGGGGATTATGCCCTAACAGGAAAACCAGAAATATTCCAAGATAAAATATCAATATAAGGGGCACCTGGGTGGCTCAGTTGGTTAAGTGACTGCCTTCGGCTCAGGTCATGATCCTGGAGTCCCTGGATCGAGTCCCGCATCGGGTTCCCTGCTCAGCAGGGAGTCTGCTTCTCCCTCTGACCCTACCCCCTCTCATGTGCTCTCTCTCTCTCATTCTCTCTCTCTCAAATAAATAAATAAAATCTTAAAAAAAAAATGCCAATATAATACATTAAGTATCTGATAAAGTGTGAAGGTTAAATATTAAGAAGGGTGTCTTAATGGGGTCTGGGGGCTTGGAGGACACTGTCAGGAGGTGATGCCTGAGCTGCCTTTGGATGGTCTCTACACCCTCTCGGTTCTCACCTGGTCTCAACAGCCTGACTGCTGCTACCACTCTTTCCCCTCCACAGTTTGTGAGCCACAGAAGTTAAAACAGTCTTTTGCAAATATAAAGTAGCTTCTAGTATTCCCTTGCTTACAGACTTCCAATGATTCTCTATTGTTCTTAGAATAAAACCTAAACTCTGTACCAAGACCCCAAGGCCCAGCATATTCTAACCCCCTCTCCAACCTCATCTCTTCCATCTGCTCCCCTTATTCTCCATACTCCTGCCATATTAGAAGTCTTCTGTTTCTTAAATAGTCCCAGGTTGTTTTTGCTTCAGGGCTTTTGCGTGTGCTGTGACTTCTGTCTGAAATGCTCTTCCCCAGATCAAGTAAGGCAGAATCCTTAGTACTGCTTAGTTTTAGTTGAGAGTAAGGTGACCCCCCTCACTGATATGTCTTTACCACCCTATTTCAAGGAGCCATTCAGCAGCTACTCTCTGCCGTATCATCCCATTTTAATTCTTTCATAACACTTACTAATATCTAAATATTTTATTTACTTCTTATCTTCCTAATAAAATGGTAGCTCCATGATAAAAAGAAGGATCTGCTTTTTAGACCAGTGAATCCCCAATGTCTAGGATATCTCCTGACATGGAGTGATACCCCATTCCTGACACAGAGTAGTTTATTATTGAACAAATACACCATGTGGAAAAAAACCACAAAATGTTCTTGTATAGTTCCTGTATAGTTTCTGCTACTTAGTAAGTTTTCATGTGCTGAATGAATTAAATCTACAGTTACAAAGATATTTTAGAGTTGGAAGAGAAATTAAAGATGATCTGAGACAGGATCTATCAGTTAATTGGTCAGATAATTCTTTGTTGTGTGGGCCATCTTCTGCATTGCAAGATCTTTAGCAGCATCCCTGGCCTCCACCCACCAGATTCCAGAAACATCCGTCTCTCTCCCTCCAGGTGTGAAAATCAAAATGTCTCAAGACATTGCCAGATATCCGAATCATTCCTCATTTAAAGCCACCGGTCTCTCTTTAAAACAATCCTCCTTATCCAACAGGTGAAAAAATGAAGGCCCAGAAAGATCAAATAACATGAGCAAGGCCGTTCAGCCTGTTAAGGGCAAACCAGGACTCACACGCCAGGCTGCTGACTGGATGGATACACAGGGTACTTTCTGTTACACTCGGCCCGAAACAAAAGATCTTTGGTGTAATCACGGCAGAGCATCCCTGATCCATAGTGATTAGCTCTTTACTGGCTGTTACGTTAATCAAATTGTACCTTTCCATATGCTGCTTGATATTCCTGAGCAATCAGCTGACGTTGTGAGTTCGTCCTTTCAGTCAGAATGCTGATGAGCGTTTTCTCGTCGGTTCCTAAATGAAACGAAAATAATTTTACTCACCATCAACCCAAAGATGCTTAATATCTGTTGTGAACAAAAGAAAAAACAATGGTTTGAAACAAATGCAGACAGGAAGGCATTTTGGTTTTTAATTTCCAGGTTCTTACCAGGTTGGAATCTCTATTTCTTTGCCAGGCTTTTGGAAAAGAAAATTAACTTTGGAGAGTTTGGGCCGGGGGGAGAGGGAATAATCATTGTCCAAATATTCCTCTCTGTATATCAGACAGAGGGAGTAGTGCAAGGAATATGTTTTTTTTTTTTTTTAAGATTTTAGTTATTTATTTGACAGAGAGAGACAGTGAGAGAGGGAACACAAGCAGGGGGAGTGGGAGAGGGAGAAGCAGGCTTCCCGCTCAGCAGAGAGCCCGATGTGGGGCTCGATCCCAGGACCCTGGGACCATGACCTGAGCAGAAGGCAGACGCTTAACGACTGAGCCACCCAGGCGCCCCAGGAATATGCTTCTTTTGAGCTGGGTTTTTTTCACCCTTATGAGATTCAGTTACTGTCTTACCACCTTTTATCTCTCTATCGCCATAGTTGATATCAAATTATTTTTTTCTCTAGAAAAAAGGAACTGACATGTATTGAGAACCTGCCATATTCTAGGCCCCTTTTAGTCATTGTCATAGTTAATATTCACAGAAACTGTGGGCACTGGGTGATGATTAAGCTGTTCCAAAGATGAAAACACTAATATTTAGAGAGGTTATCTCATGTGCCAAAGTCATGCAGCTTTTAAGTGGTGTAGCAAGAATGTGAACCCAAATCTCTGACTCTAAAACATTTATTTCCCTCTCTGATCCGTACCTCCTTCTGGCATCCCAGACCCATATACTTAAGCACTGTTCTAAGTAAAGGGCTGATGCTGGCCTGCTTGAGAATGCCCTCAAGGTCACAATTTTCTTGGTAATTAAAGTATGAAGCTAGCGTGGGAAGCTGTGTCTGCCTCCTTGGCAGCAGAGGACTCCCCCTGGTTGGGGAGCTGTGGGTTGGCTTGTGAGCCTTGGGCCGCGTGATTAGAATGGCTCAACTTCTGTGAGTTGAGGTGACCCCCACACACCTTGGCTACACATGCCAGTGGCCATGGTACACATTCTACATCAGGGATGGGGCAAAACAAACTGAGAATTTGGTTAGCTGCTGGGCCTCCCAGTGAGGGGTACTGCTCCCCCGTAATTCCGGTCCTGCATTCTTCTAGTAAACACAGAACTAGATCAAAGCCCAGCTGTGTCGCATGAGTCCGATGAGCGATTTGAACCTCTGATGGCATCCGTGTTGGTGCACGACTAAGCACCTCCAAGTGCACATGCAGTATCTCAAACTCAGATGATCCCGGTGGAATTCACTCTCTTTCCTCTCTAACTCGTCTCTCATTCTATGTTCCGTCATCGATGACATCACTATGGATATAGTCATCAAACCAAAAGTCCTGGCAGTCATCCTATACTCCTTTCTTTTCTTCACTCCCTACATTGTAGCAATCATCTGCATCTCTTGAATTTGTCCTCTCCTCTGCCCCTGTGCACACAGCATACTATACCTAGAAACTTCAATAGCCTCCTGATTTGGCCCCCTTACAATTCATACCATGCATGATTGCCCCAGTAAATTCTTTAAAATGTGCCTGATCATGTCAATCCCTTGGGTGAAATCCTAATGGCTCTCTGTAACCTTCATGATGAAGCTCAAGCCCCTTCGCTCATACACCTGCTCAATAGGGTCTAGCTACTGTCTCAAGTCTCTGTTGTGATTTTCTACCCCTTCTCGACATCTCTATGCCCTATGCCCCGAGACTTCAGATATAACCACTCCTGACAGTTGCTTGAAGTGTGTATGCTAGAAGGTTCTTTATCTCTTAGTTTTGCACATGCTCAAGACCAGAAACTAGGGTTGCCTGGGTGGCTCAGTCGTTAAGTGTCTGCCTTCATCTCAGGTCATGATCCCAGGGTCCTGGGATTGAGCCCTGCATCGGGCTCCCTGCTCCATGGGAAGCCTGCTTCTCCCTCTCCCTCTCCCTCTGCTTGTGTTCCCTCTCCCGTTGTGTCTCTCTCTGTCAAATAAATAAATAAAGTCTAAAAAAAAAAAAAAGACCAGAAACTAAAACAAGCTGCCTTGTGGTTCAGAGACTGGATTTGACACATCTCTAATGCAAATATCATTATGACACCTGGTTCTGGACTAAGAACACATCAGTAATGGACCTCACAAGCATCTCAAAGTAGGTCTGCAACCCAACATGCAAAAATTTGTGAAGAAACATAACGTTAAGAAAAAAAGACAAGCAATAGAATGTAAGACTATTATTTCATTCAATTTGACATTAACCTCATGGAACAATCTACTCAACATGGAGAATAGGGAAGGCATAGGGATAAATGAAGAAATACTTGTCATTTAAAAACAGAAAAAAAAAAATCCAAATGACAGAAACAAGATAGTATTACACTGATATAAAAATCCGAAGAGTATATCTCATGGAACTTGACAAACTGACCCTAATATTCGGGGAGGGGGGAGGGGGTAAAGGGCCAAGAAAAGCTCTTGCCTTACTAGACACTAATTATAAAATTAGAATAGTAATTATGACAATGTGATACGGAGACAGGAATAGGCAAACAGACCAATGGAGCAGAAACATAGAGAAACTTAGAAGACAATGCGGCACTACTGATCAGTGTGCGAAGGAGGTGTTCTTCAATAAATTGTGCTGGGACAATCAACCAGCCACATGGGATAAAACAAAATTAGATACCTTTAAATAACTTACACAAACGTTAATTCCAGGTAGATTGAAAATCCCAAAGTGAAAAATAAGATTGTAAAACTCTGGGGTGAAAATACAGGAGAGTATCTTTATGAGCTCATTATAGAAAAGACATGTAGGAAAAATATTAGTAAACTTGATTTCCCTGAAATTTAAAATTTCTAGGCAATATAAGTTACTATAACCAATGTTAAAAGAAAACTACAGACTAGGAGAAGATATTTTCATGGATTGTAATTTTTTTTTAAATTTGTATCCAGAATTTATAAAAAATAATCTTGCCAATCATGAAGAAGATAATCCAACTGAAAAATGGATAAAAGATAGGAAGACATAATTCATGGAAGAAGCAGATGAACAAGAAAGGAGACTCAGCCATATCAGTCATGGAGGATGGGGAGGAGAGAGGAAGCAAACATACATACAGGATGAGATTCAATTTTAGACCCACTCAATTAGGAAAACAGAATAGTGTGACCTTAGCAAGTACTGGGGAGAACATGGAGTAAGAGTAAGTCTCATAGATACCGTACTGCTGGTAGGAATGCTCATTTGCACATTCATTTTAGAGAGCAGTTTGGCAAAATTTCTTTTTTTTTTTTAAAGATTTTTATTTATTTATTGAGAGAGAGAATGATAGAGAGAGAGCATGAGAGGGGGGAGAGTCAGAGGGAGAAGCAGACTCCCCGCTGAGCAGTGAGCCCGATGCGGGACTCCATCCCATGACTCCAGGATCATGACCTGAGCTGAAGGCAGTCGCTTAAACAACTGAGCCACCCAGGCGCCCTGGCAAAATTTCTAGTTAATTTGAAGATGAACATCTTCAACCTCGAAATTCCATTTGTTATATTCTAGAGAAATGGAAGCAAATGTGCATAAGACATAAGCAGGAATATTCAATGCAGCATTTTTATACTGTAATAGAAAAGAATTGTAGGCAATTGAAATGTTCCATCAATATCCCATCTTACAATATAATAATTCAATAGACTACTATGCAAGTAAAGTTAATGAACTAGAGCTAAACATATCAACATGGATAAATCTCAAAAACAAAATGTTAAGGGATAAAAAGAAGTTGCAGGAGAATGTACATATAATACTGAGTATCATTCTAATTTATACTGTTTGAGACCATGCAAACTATATGTACATACATATGTAGTTATGGAATTAAAAGTTTCATGGGAATAAACTCTACTTTAGGATGGTGTTTTGTCTCTAGGAAACATGGTGGGAAAGAGATCCAGGAAGAATCAGCAGAACGGTATCTGTAATGATTTATTATGATGATCACTGTTGGTAGCAGTGATGGTGATGTACTGTTTCACAGTAAGTAAATATGGCAAATACTAAGATTTAATAAAATTGGGTGCCCTATGCATTTTTTCCTCATTATTTCATAATTTTTATTTATTTTTTTAGGGCGGGTGGGGGAGAGGCAGAGGGAGTGGGAGAGAGAGAATCTTAAGCAGGCTCCGCGCCGGGTGTGGAGCCTGATGCAGGGCTTGATCTCACGACCCCGAGATCATGACCTGAGCCGAAATCAAGAGTTGGACACTTAACCGACTGAGCCACCCAGGTGCCCCACTATTTCACAATTTTTAAAAAAGTCCCTTACAATTTCCCCAGTCGAGGAAGCCAACTTGGGCAAATTGAACCAATGCACTTTTAAATTGTAACTTTCCTGATTTGCTTCAACGTGAAGAGAGCAATTGCAGAGCAATACTCACCGATTCCTCTGATTGCCTTGCGAATCGCTTCAGCATCCACTGATGGGCTGAAGCCCGGATAATCGTGCATTGTCCCTCGGTGTCCAACCTGGAAGGAAATATCTGAAAGTGCCACTAGTTCAAAATGACCTCTTTGTTTGCATTACATACATTCACGCATGCATGTTGGAAGCATAACAAACCCTTAATTGGCAACACCTTCCTTTCCCTTAAGGAGTGGTTCAGGAGACTCTCGTCTCCAGACATGTGAGCAAAATGACATCTGCCACATATACAAAAAGGCCTCTCCTTTCTCCCCTTGTGTAAGAGATGAGAAACACAAATAGTTATTCTCTAGAGCAATAAATTGGGCTAATCCCAGTGACTCTGAAGATTATTTGCTTTATTATTTTATCTTATTTTAAAGATTTTATTTATTTGAGAGAGAGAGAGCACAAGCAGGGGGAACAGCAGAGGGAGAAGGAGAAACAGACTCCCCTCTGAGCAGGGAGCCCGATGCGGGGCTCGATCCCAGGACCCGAGGACCATGACCTGAGCCGAAGGCAGACGCTTAACGACTGAGCCACCCAGGCGCCCCAGAATATTTGCTTTAAAGTGGCCTCTGCACCAAAACAATGAGAAAGTGAGAATTTCCTGTATCCTCTTTGTTTTCAAGTGATAACTCAAAGTTCTTCACTGCAACTCACACAGAAGTAACTGGTTTGCAGACTTTAAGATGCTTTAATTAATGCTGACCACTGTCCTTGGGGAAGCCTACACCAAAGGATCCACGAATGAACACCCCATTAGGACTGCCTGTTCTCAAGCCTTGTTTAACAAATGTGTAGTTGCAGCTGATAAATTCCCTTCTGAAAGCTCCACTGACATGGATCTTCAGGAGCAACATGGAAATGAAAAATGCCATGACAGTAATTTTAAACACAAAAATTAGAAACATGTCAGTAAGCTGGGAAAGACCATCTTACGGAAAGAATAAAATCTCTTAAAACTGCTTAAGAGACTACAGAACAGCCACAAAGATGCTGAGACAAATGCAAGGGAACATATATTTATATGGCATTTCCTCACTCTGAAGAAAAACATGTCTTTACAGTAATGGTGTTTTCTTTGTAAACTGATTTTCCTATCCTGTTGCTGAATAATATAGGCTCTGTTGTCTTGGGCTAATATGGCTTCATTTAGGCTCTCCTGAAGTGTTTAATATTTTCATGACAGGACATTATCTTGTCACATTAAAGTGAATAGAAAGTTAATGTTCTGGCCCAATAAAAAATGATAGGCTGCTGATTCAATAGATTAGGTTGAACAATTCACTTTAATACAACCAAACACTGTTTAATCTTAAAGCATCCAAAATAGTTTTCATTCTACAAGAGTGATTATAACAGGTTAGAAACTAGTTGTGAATGTGTCTGATCTAAAGGCACCTATTGGAAATCAGTCACTTCCACATGATCTTTGGAGAATCCTCTTTCTCTGAGGCTTAATAAATATTTTATGGGTTCCCAGAGTCAACTGGCCTCATTTCAGTTCTACCCATCTAGGAACTTTTATGTTGATCTTATCTGTCCACCTTATGTGTCTGGCATTTTAGAAGAACCACCCCAATATTGGAGCATTTGAGTGCTTCATGGCCAGCACTGTGTGAGACACTTCAGATGTATTAATAGAACCTGCATAACATCCCTGAGGAGTAAGAGTGACCCACTGCACATAGAAGACACCAAGGTTTAAGAGGATTGGAGCATTTGCTCTCAAGCCCACAGAAACTAGGTCAGCAGTAGCATCTGAATTTGAACACAGTCATGACCATTCCAGCCCATTCCTAGTCTTTCTTGAAATGTAGGGTCTTGCACCCAGGGTAATTCTTTCAAATGCATATGCCCAGGTCCTGCATTGGACATATTGAACCTATTCTTCAGAAGTAAGGTAGACTCTACATGCTGAAGAAGTTCCCTGGTGATTTTGTGCCACACAGGTATTTACATGGTTGCTTCTGAATCCAAGAACACAGAATTGCAGTCAGATTCCAATGGCTCATGAAAAGGGTTTCTTTTCTAGCCGTGACCTTTTCACTGCCCTCTACTACCTACACATCAAAATATGCTGAAATTCCAATGCGCACAATTAGAGAAGGTTGAAATTCCCAGTCCATTATGTGAATTAAGTGTGGAGGAACTCCTTGTTTAATTAAAAGAAAGAAAGCACCCCCGCCCCCCCAACGCCAGCTTGAAAAATGGCATGGAAATTCTGAAACGGAATCTTGGTGAAAATTTTTGACTGTTTCAGTTATTTAAATAAGCAATATAATTCAGTTGATAGACTCGGTTGCCCAGAACATTCAACAATATTTACATGACCTATGAGAAAAATCTTAAAGTAAAAGAAATTAATAGAATCTTTTAAACCAGCACATGCCAGGCAGTGAACAAAGTGCTTTACAGACAACTTATTTCAGTCCTACAATGACCTTAACAAAGTAGATTTTATTATTTCCATTAAAAAATGGAAGAAACTCGATTTCAGAGAAATTATTTGCTTACCATAACTCTGCTACTAAGGACAGCCCAAGGATGTGAACCCACCCATTGTGTCCAAAATGCCCTGTGCTCTCTACCACATCACAGTGCTTCACAGGATTCCATGCCAGTGGTTCTCGAAGAGAAGATATTGGATCAGCCACAGCAGCATCACCTGGGAACTTGTTAGAGATGCAGATTCTCAGGTCCCACCCCAGTCTTACTGAGTCAACAGCTCTGGGGCTAAGACTCAGGATCTGTGTTTTAACAAGCCCTCCAGATGATTCTAATGCATCCTCAAGTTTGAGAACCACTCTCTATTTCATTCTCAGCTGCCCAGAAAACCAAAGCAAAATGAGTAAACAAGTCACAGATTCTTTTATGGGAGGTGGAAGAAGAATTTGACGATGAGCTCATTGTTTCAGGAATGTTGGCATTTTTACAGACAGACAAAACTATTTGCATGGCCTGCTTCGTTGCAGGATTCCTTCCTTAACATTTAAACTACTAATCAGTGCTTGACTTCATCTGTTTGCACTAACCCTAACTCCCTAACAAAGTGTCATGCTAGTGTGGGACACAAATACTTAACAAAGTTTTTATTTTTCCAAAAAAATCACGTTTGATCAGATTTCCATCAGCATCCCTTAAACACTTAAAGTTGCTTTCCTTTTTTTCCAAACTTGACCTTCAGATGCCCCCAAAGGGACAATGATCCTGAAAGCAGTTGGAAAATAAATTAAAGCAAGCAATCTCTAAATAAAGGGAGTGGGGAAACTAACAGGAGCTCTTGACATTAATCATTGTTGCTACTTGTGACGCAGGGGTGGCTCAGTCGGTTGAGCGTCCGACTATTGGTTTCGGCTCAGGTCACGATCTCAGGGTCATGACAGCAAGCCCTGCATCGGGCTCCCTGCTCAGTGTGGAGTCTGCTTGCGATTCTTTCCCACTTCCTCTCCCTCTGCCTCTACTCCTCCCCCTGCTCTAAGTAAGTAAGTAAGTAAGTAAGTAAATAAATAAATAAATAAATAAAATCTTTAAAAAATTGTTGCTACTTACTGTGTGCCAAGTCTTGTGCTAAGCACGCTTCCTGCATTAGCTCATTCAATCCTCACAAAAGACTTGTAAGGCAGATGTAAAACCTCCTATTTACAGATAATGATAAAACTGATGCTTAAGTAACTTGCCCAAGTTCACACAGCCAGCAAGTGGTCAGTCTCATCAGCCTCTGCTTCTGATTACTAAGCTAGGCTGCATCTCATTTGAACCATCTTCATGTCAATAGTTTTCTCTGATCTTTTTTTTCTTAAAGATTTTATTTATTTGAGAGAGAGAGAGAGAGACAGAAATAGTGGCAGAGAGCATGAGGGGGGTGGAAAGGGAGAAGCAGACTCCCCGCTGAGCAGGGAGCCCTGCGTGGGGCTCGCTCCCAGGACCCCGGGATCATGACCCAAGCCGCAGGCAGACGCTAACCGACTGAGCCCCCCAGGCGCCCCTTTCTCTGATCTTCTAAAACTCTCCTTTGGAGATCATCAGAGCACCTGATGCCTTGAAGTCATTGGTGTGGCCAAGTGGGGGCCTGGTAAGCTGTCTGCTGCCACCTCCCCTCCCCTCTCCCCTTCCCCCTGCCGAGAGGCCGGTCTGTCCTTGACCATGAGAGCTAGTTGCACCCATTTTTTTCATGCAAAGTGTACTGGGTTTGCAAGAAGTTAAGCATTCATATTCAGAAGAATGAATGAAAGAGAAAAACACAAGGCGCCAATCCTGTTGACAGGAAGCATATTTAAAGCCCAATGCTTCAGAGCAAGAATAGCTGCTGCTACAGGTACATCTCAAGGGTGAGGTGAAGCCAAATCACTCGTCACTTCATAAAGTCCTGCAGAGGCCACAGCCAAAAACTAAGCTTTTAAATCAAAGCCTCATAGAAACTTCCAGGACTCAGGAACTCTTGAAGAGCTGAGGAGAAATGATCACTCTCTGGTCAACGTCCAAACAGTCTGCTGGGTCTTGAGGGTTTATGATAGAAGGAAAAATGGAGTAGACTAAAAAAATAAATAAAAATAAAGAAATAAAGCAATCATAACTTGGAAGATGTGAGACTTCTCATTCCGTTTTTCTAGTAAAATGTGCTTTTCCAAACCAAAGAAAGCTTACTGTAAAAGGCCCTGAGGTGGCATAGGGTCAGAGGAGGCAAGTGTTAGGGGTTGAATTGTGTCCCTCCAAAAAGATATGTGGCAGGCCAAGCCCACAATGCTGCACACTGTGACCTTCTTTGGATATACGTTTATTGAAATGTACTTAGTTAAGCTGAGGTCATACTGGATGGAGTGGGCCCCGAATCCAACATGACAGGTGTCCTCGGGAGACAACCAGCTGAAGACAGAGACACACAGGAGGGGATGTGACCATGAAGGCAGAGATCGGGGCCGTGCAGCTGCGAGCCAGGGAACCCCAAAGATTGCCAGCAAACCACCAGAAGCTGGAAGAGGTGAGGAAGGACTCCCTTACAGGTTTCAGAGGAAGCATGGCCCTCCCACACCTGGCTTTCAGACCTCCAGCCTCCAGAACTGTCAGAGAATACATTTCTCTTGTTTTAAAACACCCAGTTTGTGGAACTCTGTTAAGGCAGCCCCAGAAAACAGCAGGTAAGGTGCTGGAGACAAGGACTGCTAACCACTCTGACCCTCCAGGGCAAACACGAGGGGCCTCAGATTCTTCCATAGGCTGGCAGGGCCCAGTGCAAACAGAAGGCGCCCCATCGCCACGGCCCACAGGCTTCCCACCCAGGGGCAGCAAAGGGAAGCAGGGGTGGGGAAAGCAGAGACTGGTAGCCTCCAGTGCCTGATGGCAGTGAGGAAGTGAGTGACTTCATGGCTTCCTTTAAAGTGCTTCCGAGGGGCGCCTGGGTGGCTCAGTTGGTTAAGTGACTGCCTTCGGCTCAGGTCATGATCCTGGA